TAATGATTTGCTCGTGATCTATCTTTCAGTGTAATCAGTCGTGCATGTTTTTGTAAGCAGAGCAAGAGGGTTAAGACTTGAGCGGGACCACACGTACGGTAATTGAAAACCGGGATAAAATTTTCAATAAAACTTAAAATATGAACGGTGTACAGAAAACGAGAAATCAGAGGTTGAGATAATAATTATGCATTGCTACAATCATCGCTACTTCAGGCCAACGTTATATGGCATCGTCAATCATTCAAAGTCACAACTAGACCGAACAGTATTGGGTCATTAGCAAAATGGAGTCGCGGTTATTTTTGACAATCATTTTGATCAGGTGGTGGCATTTTGGCAATGATATATCTTCCCTCAAACCGAGGCCCTTGGTTATCGTGTATTCATTCACGCCTAAACGCGTACATCGAATTCGACCGTCGACAAAGACTATTATCATTCATTCAAAATCATTTTCTCCGATTCTGATTGGCTAAAAGCACACGCATAAAGATCGCCAGCTACTGATGACCAAATCTGGAAGAATTTTGCGATTAATGAATCGATAACGTCAAAAGTACAGCTTCCTCGCAGGTTGACGCACCGTTGACCGAGAAGACCTGGGGACGAGGTTGAGTTGTTTTGGTTGTGAAAACAAAATTGGCGGACATTTCACTCATTTCAAGAGTAAGAACTAGTAGCTAAAAACATGGCAAGAATAGCAAGAAGACAACTCGAAGGGCGACAACTGCTATTTGGAGAATATTTGCGGAGCTGAACAACCCTAAACGTGCACTATCGAAGATGAACTTAACATCGATGGAGGTAAGCATGTCTTGGCTATGTTTTTGAACTAAGAATTATTTTGAATGAATAATAAAACAATTATTGAATTCGGCTTTCGTATCATATGAAGGATTGTGGAGATCTCTGAGGGTGTTATCCGAACACCCTCCGCGATCCCATAATTTTTCATAAGATACTCAGCCTCATTCATTAATTGTAGTGAAAGACTAATAGTGAGACATGCAAGGCTAATAGTGAGAAAATCTTGTTTCGTGTAAAAAGCCACGTTTTCGTGAAAGCGTTTGAAAGCAAGTGAATGTTGAGACGATACGTTTCTCAGACTGAATTAACTGAATATGTAGCAATTCCTGGAACTCTACGGTAAAATAAATTCGCTGTTTTATTGCAGATTAACTTGGTTGTATGTATTTAACTGATAGATTGTTGAGGTTGTTTGTGGAAAATGTGAAGTATATACGTACTTGAGATATTGTGAAGTGAATAAACGATCGCCCACTCGTCACGGTATGTGTCACGGGTAGTTTTGAACTTAACCGTCACGCACTCGACTTGCAGCAGTTCATTTCAAATGAAAAATATTAGTATACAAATTGAACTAGTCGATTCGATTTCGAAGTAGTTTTAGAAATTTGGATTTGTTTTTTGTATTTGACGTTTTCGTTGATGTTTCTTAGTTTCGTATTGCCTTCAATTGAGGATGATTCCTTGAATATGACTGCATAATAGACCTTGTCACGGCGAGTTTTCGACGCCATCTTGACGAGTAGGCAAACGTGTGAGAAATTACAGTGTTTGTATGAGAATCTAATGTGGAATAATTTCCGTAAAATGGCTGTTCTGAAAAAAATATGACTTGTAAACTAAAGCTACAAAACAAAGGATTGTGCTAAAAAAAATTGGGGCGTACCTGTGCTTAAATTTCTCCAGAGGCTTACTTTAGCTTTTCTATACATTTGTCTGTAATTTTTTCCAGGACTACAGACAAATGAAAAGAAAATTTAAAAAGGTGGTTCTAGGACTTCTAGCGCATGTAACGCCCTCAATTTGTTTCGGTAGAATCCTTAGGAGTGAAGCTTTAGTTTACAATTCATATATTTTTTTCAGAACAGCCGTTCTACGGAAATTATTCGACAATAGATTCTCATACAAACACTGTAATTTCTCACGCGTTTGCCTACTCGTCAAGATGGGATCGAAAACCCCCTTCAAGGTCTTTTGCCTAGACATCATTGAAAATTTTCACTTAATATTGAACAATTATTGCTTTTTTCGTATTACTGTCGAGTACGTGAAGTTAACGTTGCGCCCGACGCAGGACGGTGCAAGCTCAGATCATACCCAACAGTAAACGTTACAATATTTTTCCAGTCTAAAAACAGAAGGTACTAAAATCTGACTTTTATAACTACTAAATGTTAAATGTCAGCATATAACCTAAAAATTGGGTCGCAAAACAGTGTTGTACGATGTACGTACAGATTCAAGAGAAAAACTCTCTGACTATGGTAGCTGAGTCAAAACTTACTGAGCATAGTCTACTACCATGATATTTTTTAAAAAAAACCTTCTCAAGACGCGGCTACCCTTAACTGACTGGAGACCGCCCCTTTAGGGCGGAGACCGTCCGTATAGGCTATTATAGGGAGTACCACCCTCCCCCCTCGGAGTTAGTATGATAAATATACTTACCGAATTAGGTAGATATGATTCTTTGTACTAAAAGGATTTCATCTCAGTGTTTATCAGGCATCACTGAAATAAAAAGTTAAGCGGAAAATGTCATTTGGTCCCGTTGTCAGAAATGGGAAATAGAAAAAAAAAGAAATGGGAAATAGGGAAAATGAAATATGGAATGGGAAATTGCACAAACAATGTTACAGCAAAATGGAACACCTTCAATACACTTTACAGGATGAGATTTTATAGATTTAAATGTTATAGCATTAAGATTTGTCCAACTCCCAAGTGCTAACAACACGATGAATATCAGTAAACTTCATTTATGTAGATAAAAGAAAAAGAAAAACAATCATAAATCAAGCTTTGCAGCAGACAGTAGATATTATTGTCGGTTTGCAAATGTTAAGAAAATTTTTATCAATAATAATAAAAATAGAGACAATAATATTATTTTTCTTCCTGTTTAGATAGCTTACTGTTAAATTATCTATTTCTGGTCCCCATTTTGCTGTTTTTGCTATTGTGTATTTAATTCTCTGATTTGTATGTAATGTGTATAAAAACCTAATAAATAACTTAACAAAAAAGGGTTACGGAAAGGTATCGGCCCACCTTTTTGTACACACTCCCAAAAAATAACTGTCTCCTAGCCAAAAGGATCAGTCAGTGGTCATCAGTATAGCTTTAAGATAATAGATTTAATGACAATACATGTACATGTAGTTTATTAAAATTAATCACTGACAGTAGTTTTATCAGCTGCCAGCGCTGGTTTACATACAAGTAAAAGCTGTCCTTAAAATATATATCCTCAGAATTGCTAGTATCTAAGTGACAAGTTATAAGTACATTTATGATAAAAATAATCCTCAGTGAGCTAAATATTATAATAAAGAATCAAAGAAGCTCAGAAGCAAGCTCTCCACTTAAGATTGAATGAATTCAACAATCAAAATTAAGCTACATAAACTGGATTTTTTTCTTTAGAGGTGGGGGGGGGGGGGGGGGG